GAATGAGTAAAGAATTCATATGGGAACTCAGGAGAATATTTTATCTTTCTAGACATATGTGTTGATTTTGCAGCTGTCTGTTTTAATAGCTTAGATAGCAATTTAAGTTTGTGTAAGTACATCATTAGCTATAATAACTCCCAAGGTAAGAATATGCTATAATTTACAGACAAACATGGAAAAAAATGCAAGAAAGGCTGAATACACATAGCAAAGAATAACTGTATGTTGTGCATCTGCCTTTAGTAAAGCCACTGATAGTAACTGTACCTTATTAAAATAAATTAATATTGAGGGAATGTGTTCTTGCAAGAAGTATGACAAGAAGACAAAACTCTAGTTTTTCATATTTGTCATTTTAGTACTTGTATCTCTCCTAGGACTGMAGTTCCATGGCTCCTGTGGTGCTTCACACAGATGACTGGGCTTTTTTAGAAGYTTAGAATAGCTGCCCTTCAGTCTCCTCTGCACCAGCATGACTGTGAATAGCTGCTGCTTCTTTCATCTCACAGCACAGCTTCAGTAACTCCTTTTCTATGTAGCACTTAGGGCTGGGACCATTATAATTTCTTACTTTTGCATGGTTTTGAAACRTAAGTCTATTTACAGTTGCATGACAATCTATTTACACCATATCTTTGCAGTTAGCATGACTTCTACCACACATATAATTATAAGTASCCTGCTTGAGCTCTCCAATTACTTCCCCAGCTTACAATGAAGTAAGGGAGAAAGTATGACTTAAAAAGAAGATAGGGCTGATTTTTTTTACTCTTGGTGAAAAGGGTAATAATTCCTGCTCTAGTATCCCCTTTGCAATAAAAAATGCTTTATTATAGAAACCAAGCATTTTTACTGTCTGCTCAGAAATTAATCCTCTTTAGACTCAGCAAGAAAGTTTTAGGGAGTAAGAGATGAGTAGCTTGAGGAAGACACAAAAATTGAGCCATAAGGCAAGGCTTTTCTTGTCTGCATGCAGTCTTTCACTTGCTGGGCTAATGATACCCTGCTTGGTCTGGAGACAGCATGAAATGCTATTGTCTGTATTTTGCTTCTCAGTAAGGTCAGCCAGAATGTACTTATATCAATGCTATTTCCTAGAGACTTCCAGTCTTTTATAGAATTGATGCTAAGGTTACTCAATACTTTATCAGGCAAGACTTGCCTCTTTATTGTCCAAGCTCATTATCCAATACAGCCCTAAAGACAGTCTGTGTGGCGTGATTGCTGCAAATGCAAACTCCTCTGAGCAGAGAAGAAACAATCTTGTCATTATAGTTTTAAATTTTGAAAYGGACTTGGAGAATTTTGTGGATTTGTTTCTGTTTGCTGATACCATCTAACTTTTTAGGGTGATTTTAATTGCCTATTTTGCTGTTAATGTAGTTGTCACATTTTGAGGGATGTATCTCTATGAAAAACATCCCATAGCATTTACACTGTGTTAACTGTAATGCAAATAATTCTCTCTCAAGGGACCTCATGGAGCAATGAGGTCCTTAGATATTGGTGCTGAAAAACTGTGCAAAACAAACACGGGCTAYGAGAATTCTAGTTGGAATGAAATGGTTTGGAAAAGAAAAGTTAGTGCTTTTGTAATTAAAAGTGCAAGGAGATTTAGTAGTATAATTAATACATCAAATCTCTCTAGAGCATAGACATTCCGGGCTGCATGTGCACAAAGGTTATCACTGGACAAATAAATCATTATTATTCTTTCCAGTAAGATTCTGGTCTTGTGATCTTCACATGATGAACTGGTTTAGCAGGAAACTGGAAAACTSTCCCCAAATGGTGAGTTACTTCTGCTGTTTTCCACTCTTCCCTGCCTTCACTTTCAACCTGCACTGTTTCAACCTCAACTCCTGCACATCCAGTGCTGACTTCGAGTTTCGAATTTCCTAGCACCTGCTTCCAAGAAGCAGCAGCAGCAGCCATTGTGTTTTTATGCAAGGTTCAAACCACCTGCCTTTGGAAATGACTATCTAAAGAATGGATAGCAGGTATTGGWGAGATTTTCAGCAGTGTTTATCACGGAGGGTTAGGAACAGGGTTAGGTCCACTCTGAAACCATCTCAACCTAAAAAATCCTGCATAGAAATTCACAGAAGTACAAATTCAGCACCAGCTGTGCTGAGTGCTCACTTGCTGTGTGTATAGCAGAAGTACAGTGTCAATAAGATACCACCATGCTCACACAGACCCATGCAGGAATACAGAGGTGTGAATTTTTATACATACAAAATAAATGTTCTTCACAAATCAGARCACTAGGCTGATTTTTAAACACTTTACATAAGACAGGAAAAGTCACAAGAAGCAGACTAATGTGGAATGATTGGCTTTAAATACAATAAATAAATATTTAATTAGTGAAAAAATGTAATTAAATACATTTATATTTAAAGCCAATGACACAAGACCATACATAGTGCATAAAGGGGTGTATCAGAGACTAAGCCATATTGAGAATTGTGGAGTCTGTTCATATCAGCTAGTTCTCAGAGAAAGAAAATGTAAACTTTTCACACACAACCAATATTTCAAGATTTTGATACTTTTTTTTTTGTGTGTGTAGTCTTCTATATTGTTTAACTACAGATTTAACTCCTACAGTTTAATAAATTCATAAGCAGTTTTATATGAAGTGTCTGATATATCAGGACTTAGAGTGGATGATCTAGATCTTTTTTAGTCTGATGCCTTCTCTGTCTGATTATTCTTTGCATAACAAATAGAACAGCAAGCCTCAGTCATTAGCAACCTTGCTAATGTTTCTATATTTCAGATTTTTTTCTCAGACAGAGATACATGTGTATTAAATATTTTAGAACTATTAAGAGCTATAGCTAGTTAGAAGGGTAAAACCCTTCATACAGCAACGTTTGAACAAAAATATTTCTTCTGAATTCATCAGTTTCCCTTTGAAAGTTTCCAAGCATTTTGAATTTAAAGTCTATAAATTATTTCTCAGTAAGCAGAACTTACTCTGCTTTTATAAAAGAGAATTAGCAAGAAAATGTAAGTGAAACTTGAAAGAAAAAGATTGTACCAGTATCAGATACAAAAAGCTCCACTTCTTTTCTAAGTCCTGGTGTACAYACTAATAAAGCTAGGCGATGTTTATCCCTCTATTTTTATTAAAATGAAGGAGTATAAAATGGACAGTTTACTTGAACGTTAGGGGAATTTCCTGACAGAACTAGTATGCCTCAATTTCAGTAACTGGAAAGCTAAAAAATGCCTGATACAGAAAAAATATCTTCCAGAATAAACAGAAAATAASACTGTGTTAAGATAGCATTGTACTTAGGGCAAGTCCTGATCTGGTAAAAATAATAAAATGAAAATAATAAAAGTGATTTAGATGAAAGAAGACTAATTTATCCTACCCTGGAGAATAGGCTATATATGTAATACATTTAGAATTTGAGCTGTCCTCTTCATTTTATGAAGAAGCCTGTATCTCTTATAGTTTATGTCTCATCTATCTACTAAATTTCATACTGACAAAAGTGGTGTACAAGTGAYAAGTTTGATGCGAGGGAGCATTCCTACTTTAAAATGAGCTTTGCTTTACTTTTCAGAGAGCAGACAGGCTGATCAGTGAAAGCCATAATTTGTGGTACTTAGAGCTAGACAAACGTAAATCCTAAGGAATATGGAGATGAGATGTGAGATAAATAAATAAAAAAATATTAATTTCTTTTTTCAGATTAAACATGAGTCCCTAGCTTCTCTGGTATTTTCTTCCTTGACCTTCCACCTTACTCTAAACTCTATTCGCTTTTATTTTAAACAAATAGAAAGTCTTTTGTATTATATTCATTAGTTTCTTAGCAGGATGCAACAACCTTTTCCATAAGCATTGCTGTTTGCTMATATTTTCTGTTATTGTCATAGAGATGTAAGGACTGCATACAAATGATATTATTTTCAATTTATTCACTTAGTTTACTATTACTGTTMAGAGCTTTCCTGAGTTGTTGAGCATAAAGGTTCTAGTTGAGCTATACTGTCATCTCGTGGTGAACCAATGTTCCTGATTCCAAGTCACACAGGAAAGCTTTCTTTTCAGAACAGACAATCTGCATACCATAAAAGTGAATTTATGTTTGGATATTACATGCCCTTGTGAGTGCTTTTTAATGGATATTAAAGGTTTCTTATTCCCCACAAACTCCAAAGAGGTGTCTACCTTCGATAAACAAGATGATATCCAGAAACAAAGGCATCCAAATTGAGCCTCATGGAAATATTGCTCTTTAATTCTTCATTCCTCCTACAGACTTTCTGAGCCTGTATGATCTAGCTCAAGCTGTTCAGCTCCCTAGAAGAGCTAAAAAGTGCTCCTTTGGTCAAAGAGAACACATTTAGAAATAATAATGGCTGGAGCTCGCTTGCATCTCTGGAGAAACCTTGCTCTAGAAGAGGACAAACATGTGGTGGTGGTGAACTGGTGGTAGGGGCAATATAATTTTATTCAAGCTCTCTTTGTCTACACCTCTTTTCCCCAAATTAACTCTTACAAGAGAAATTTAAATGATGCTTTTATTTATTTATTTTCATGTGTGCCATGCACACTGCAGCGCTCGGGCCCGCAGCGGGGCTGTCACTGATGCACATAGGGGCAGGCCCGTGGACGGGCAGCCAGTGCAGTGGGGACATTCGCAGTGACATTTGCAGTGCCAAGCTCCACTTGAAGGCACATGCTGTCACAGACCAGAAACTCCCCCAATTTCAATCATGGATGTAGTTTTTTAATCYGTGGCCTAAAGCGGAGCTTTATTTGTGAACAATTGCACGAGGGAAGCTTGGAGCTCAGCACAGACAGCACCTCCGTGCAGCTAAAGCCCCTGGGCAGCCTTGAACGTTTTCTTTACCAGCTGTCTGGGCTTGGGGTCGGCCCCATGGGGCTCCCTCGCCCAGGCCGGTCCCCCCGCGCCCGGATCCGGTGCCCGGCCGGAGCGCTTCGGGCGCGCACCCGGAAGTGCGGGGCGGGATATAGCGGAAGCGGGGCGGGGCGCGGCCTCTTTGGTGCTGGCGGCCCGCAAAGATGGTGAGTGCCGAGCGCGGCCGCGGTGATTCCGCCGCCATCCGCCGCCATCCGCGCGCCCTGCGCGCCGCCGGCGCCCGCAGCGGGGCCGGGGACGCCTCGGCGGGCCGGGCGAGGCCTCGGCGGGCCCAGGGGCTGCCGCCGCCGCGGGGTGCCCGCCTCGGCGGCACCTCCGTGCCGCGGTCGCGGGACGCCGCCAGGCCAGAGCCAGGGCCGGGGATGAGGCCGGGGCCGCTCCACTGGTGCCGGCGCGGGGCTTTGGCGGGGCTGGGCTGCGGAGACGCCCGGCAGCCGCGGCGGGGGAGGCCGGAGGGTGATGACACCATTCGCTGAGGGACGGGGCGGTACGAGTTGCGTTTGGGTGCGCGGCTCGCGTTGCCGGATGCGCTTCTAGCACTGTCCTGACCTGCGTTTCAGACGAAGGGCACTTCGTCGTTCGGCAAGCGGCGCAACAAGACGCACACGCTGTGCCGCCGCTGCGGCTCCAAGGCCTACCACCTGCAGAAGTCCACGTGCGGCAAGTGCGGCTACCCCGCGAAGCGCAAGAGAAAGTGTGAGCGAGAGGCCCGGGCTTCGTTAATGCGGCGCGGTTTGATAGAACCTGCTTTAATAACTGTGTTCCAGGCGGGCACCGGGTGGGCACCCAGTTGCGGGCATCCCCGCTTCGCAGGTATCAAAGAATCGTGCTGGTGAGTGACAGTAACGTGTCTGTCCTAGATAACTGGAGTGCCAAGGCCAAGAGACGCAACACCACCGGAACGGGCCGCATGAGGCACCTGAAGAAGGTCTACCGGCGATTCAGGTAGGGGCTTCTAGGGCAGACCGCTGTGATGGGAAATGTTGCATGGGTTAYGCCTCGTTGTTAGGTGTATCACCTAAATAAAATGCGGTGTTGGGTTTAATATATTTAGTGTGCTGTGGCCTTAGACTGCTAAAGTATATTTTGAAATAAAGGCTGCYTTGTGTTCTGGTAGTATGATCTTTCTGGGACAAAGAGCTTGCTTATTTGTCATACTTGTCATTTGTCTTGCATAGGATGTATAGCAAGTGTTTCTAATAAGGATAGATAGTACAAAACACTRGTTCTTACTTTAAAATGACCATGCTTCAAAATATATATGACAAATATATAATCATTGTAAAATACATATTTTGTGTAGAACTGCCTTTTTCTGGGGATTTCTTAGTGATAGCACGTACATGGATCTTTGTAAGGTGAACCTTGAAATGGCTTCCAGTTACCCTGTGCACAAAGTTTGGAATTTTAGTAGTTGCTGTGCTGTTTGGGACTTGATTATAGCTTGCTAGCTGTGAAATCAGACTAAAGCTTCCTACAAAACTTTGAGTTATATTTAAGAGGTGCTATGAGGATACTGTAATGTTTCTAAGAAACTCACTAATTTTTTTTTGTCTCCATATTCTAAAATAGATTTTTATATTTATTAGATCAATAATTGCAAAATCTTTCCTTAAAAATATAGAAAATCATAATATCCTAATAGTAAACCAAAATTGACTAATTTTACTCTTAATGAGTGAAAATAAGCTTAGTAAGTGGAAGTGGGAGCCTGTACCAGGGCACAATGGAATTATTTCATCTGGTGTTTATGGTCTGTCAAAGTCTTTGCCTGGCAGCAGCCAGAAGGTAACTCAACTGCGAGCTGCTGCTTTTTGAGCAGAACTTGCACTTCGATGCTAACAGAAATGAAACCACCTTTAGTTGAGTTGCTTAGTAGAGCCATAAATCACAGAGTGCCTGTAGTAGCTGTGTTGTTTGATTCAGTCTTGAAGTGTTCAGCCAGTTTCTGAAATCTTCCTATTTGAAGAAATGGAATTAACTCTAGCAGGGGAGAGAAAAACTTACTGTTCACTCCAAATGGCTTGTCAATGATGTTTCATATTAAAAATGTCTGAACATATGAATTTCATAGTGATTTCAGTGCATTACTGAGACGAGCTGAACAAAAACTGSTGAATTTTACCTAAAGCATTGCTCATTAGAAAATTCAGACTGGAGAAGTAACTCCATTTCTGCTTGCAGGAATGGATTCCGTGAGGGGACCACACCGAAGCCCAAGAGAGCAGCTGTTGCCGCCTCCAGTTCATCGTAAAGACTCATCTGTTTGCTAAAAATAAATGGTCTTATTCAGAAAAACTTCCAACTTTTTTATATAAATGTTTTAATTCAATGAAGTATACCTAGAAAATATAGGTATGTTGACAGACGCAAAACTTTGTGATGTATTGAGATGATTCATTAAGCATAATACATTAATTGACTTTTTACAGCATCTTGAAAAGGATCATAATCTCTGCTGAACTTAAAGGTTTGTGTTTGTTCATAAACCAGYGCTAATTGATATATTTAACTGACAGCATTTTTTCTGGTACTCCCTTAACTGAATCAGTGGTGGACAGTGATAGGACTAGAGGAAATGGCTTCAAACTGAAGCACCAAAAGATCCACAGGGACTTAAAGAAAAATGTCTTGACGGTGAGGGTGACAGAGCCCTGGCACWGGCTGCCCAGAGAGGTTGTGGAGTCTCCTTCTTTGGAGATCTTTAAAACGCGCTTGGATGCAGCCCTGTGCCACGTGCTCTAGGTGACCCTGCGTGAGCAGGGGGGTTGGACTCGATGACCTCTGAGGTGCCTTCCAGCCTTGGGCATTCTATGATTCTATGATCTTATTCAAGAAGTCTAACTTGCATTGTTACTACTAGAACGACAAGCTTCTAGCTGATATATATTAATTCAGCATGATGAGATTTCAAAGAGGGAGAACAGGCTTTTTATCTGCTGTAGAGGAGTAATCCTTTTGCAAGGAAAGTGCAATATGAGCATTACAGCCTTACCCTACTTGCCTGTAACTCTGTGACCATAAATTATTCAAGATACTCTAATGTGGAGATTCAGATTTTGACTCTTGAAAGTTACTCTAGTAACTTGAAAAATAGGTCTAAGTGGTCGTTTGGAAAGGAAAAGCTTAAGAGGGAATTTCTGAGCTATTGTTGAGTGTTCTGCGACTGGCAGTTCAGAGAAGCCTGTCCAGAGGGCTGCTTGTTCAGTGGGCCGTTATGTCTTGGGCAAGAAGAAACTTCCACATCTGGAGGGGCTTTTACTGCTAAGCATTAGGGGATTGGAGATCTACTGTAGTTGAGATATCTCTCCCAGTAAGTGCAGGTGTGGATGTTTGAAGTGTATTGCTCTTTCATTGCAGAAAAACTAAGTTAACCTTGTACTCCAGGAAGGTATGAGTGTAGAGCTGAGGCACAAATAGACCAGATTTGCGGATTTAAACAAGAAAATAGAATATGGAAGTGAACAGTTCAGTTGGGGGTATCTTTGAGTTGCGGGTTGTTCCTTGATAAACTTGGGCCTTAAATGGGAATTCTGGGTCACTCACTTTTAAATTTTAAACTCCACTTTGAAAATTGTCATAGGATGCTGTTATTGGGATACTGTTAAGAGGAATATGGAGCATGGTAATTGCTGCAAGGATTTGAAGGATTTTCCTTTAAAAAGGAAGATCTAAACATCTTGTGAAAGGGGTTTAAGCTTCTGAGGCTGTTTTTACTTATGGTCTCACCATGAGTTCTGAGAACTAAGTGTGCTGCTATTCCAAATTATATCAGAGCTCATTGAACTTCAGTTTGGTCAACGTATAGCAAAAATCTTTGTCTTCTCAAGGTGAGAAGTGCTATTTGAGTGCCTGTGGTAGCAGAAGACAGCTTCAGTATGTCAAGTTCCAAAGGTGTAATGCATGTCAGAATTGGAGAAGAAAAAAGGATCTTTGTCAGCTTGGGATTTCTTTATTGTGACAAATTTGTAGAGGAGTTCAAGTTGGTGCCATGGCGCAGTATTTTGTCTCCGTGTCAGTCTGTGCTGTAACTTGGAAGGGTGGCAAGACCTAATGCAGCTCTTGAAAGCACAGTGAGCCACAGTTAAAATCCTTACTGGCCTTTAGCAGGCAAGGAAACAGGGAGTTGCCTTAGATCCACAGTTGCACGTTCATGGCTAAGAGGTTGTGTCTTCTATTTTTCTTTTTTCTTTTGTATAGGCTATGGTGGGTATAAAAGAAAAATGTGTATGCCTGTACTAGTTCTTAACATGCTTTGGTTGAGAAAGCTAATGGAGTAACTCAGAGGTGACTTCATGTAGTACAACTCTATTTCCTGCAAAGATGTGAAAATACCACGACCTCGTTTAGTTTGTGTGTGAGCTGGTGAACCCAACACCATGAATGAATTTTAACTAATACATTGGGACTGCTGTTCTACCTGTGGAGTCAACAGAACAACRTGTTTCATGTTTTGGCCAACACGGATTTCTAAAGTAATTGCATGCTGGCATAAAATGGTGCTAATTTTAGTTAACCTGAGTTAAAGGGAGATTACCATGTCTGTATTGGGGTAAGTATTACAGAGACTTGACCACCTGATTCTGCAGTGACATGGCAAAACACTGCATTTTAATGGCTCCCTGGAAAGCAGGGTGACCCTAGCATAAAGTGGGGTACTCCAAGAAGAATGTCAGGGGAAGAAAGGGCAGGAGTCATTTTTCTTCTGCCTTTAAATGAAAAGGCAGTGTACTTAGTTCATGACAATAATTTGAAGACCTTTTCCAACTTCCTAAGCAAATCTGTAACTTTTTCTTAGACTTTTCAATTAAAACTTGATCCAGGGACCTAAATGAGAACGTTAATCACTCAGGCTTTACACTACATTTTTTTTAGTCACAAAATACCAAATATTTGACTAATGCTAATTATCCAGAATATCTATATTCCCCYATGGCAAAACTGGCATAAGTTGTGTCCTTAAAAACATGCAAATAAGTTCCAATTTAATTATTTTGCATTTCCATAGGTAAATTGGTTAATTGGCTTGTATGAAGGCAGTGGTCCTCAACACWGCTTGTGAGCAAGTTTGTAAAAAGTGGGTAATTGGTACCAGAAAGTTTCCTGCTGATTTAAAAAGCAGGTAATTTGTATCAGACTGTTCTCAATCAACAAATACCACTGTAACTGTTTCAAATAATCCTTGTGATAGATGTTGCAGTAAGAGTATCTCTACTGAAAGAGCAAAGGATCATTCCATAGGAGGTTTCAAAGGAGCAATTAAAGGGTGTGGGGTTTTTTTTTGTCTTTTTTCTTTATGCCATGTTTTCAAAAATAAGGTGGATATTTGATATTGTTTTTGGAAATGGGCTACTTTTCTGACATGGGCAATATTACTGATGATCCTTAGCACAAAGCCACATAACAAAATCCTATACAGCAAGTACTGCAATTTTCAGGGTATTAGATGCAGCCTCTAACCTGAGGCCAGTATTAATRGAGATATTCCGGCCTAGTGTTTCTTTTTCCTCTACTGGAATTCATGCCTATGAAGCGTGGAGGAAACAGACAGCAATTGCCAGCCGTTTGGTAGGGTTGCGTCTGCAATGCGTATTAAGTTGTCTTATTTTCAACTGTGAGCTTTTTGCAGAAAGATGACAGGTGGGAAAAACCACAAACCTGCATTAATGAACACAGACCTACATTAATGCTGTGTATTGGGCAGCAGGTGCTGAAAGCTGCTCGCATTTTTCTGCTGAACAATGATCAAGAAAATGTTTTAAATTAAAAATCTRAACAACCCAAATCCAAATGATCGGTTTTATTTTCCCTGGCTATTTAAAATGGAGCTTTTTTTCATGTCATTTTATTTCATGTTGTCCGACCTGTCACAGCAATTGTAAACAGTGCAGAGCAGTATCTCTTATGTTGCTTGACGACATTGCTTGACTTTATCGAGTGAAAAAGGCTTCTCTGTGTTTTCTATGAAACCCTTCAGAATTTTTCTTCTGCAGGAGTGAATGAACTGGTTTTATTTTTTCAACCTATTAGGGTAGCAGAATGTTTTAAAATACCACGATCTTTTAGGGASCAGAAGCTGTTTTTTCCCTCAACTTTGGTGTTWAMYTG